CCAAATCCCAAATTATGATTAGTATTTTTTGCTGAAATCCCAAATCCCAAATTCCAAATACTAGTAATTTGGAATTTTGGCGTCCCAAATCCCAAATGATTTGGAATTTGGGCAACACGTATAATTTGGGCAACACGTATAATAAGGCAATACGTCCTGTTTATCAATTAATTAATGAACAAACCACAAATCCATATTATCAAGATGCTATTGATAAGTATTTTGAAAAACCTATAGAATCAATATTTGATAATTTAACATATCCAATGTATTATAGAAAGTTCAAACAAATATTAAATATACTTGTTCAAAGGAATTTTTGGCAAGATAAAAATAATAGAATCATTGTAGAAAAAAAAAATTTTAGTTCGATTTCAATATTTAAAAGTCAAAAATGCTGAAGATTTTTTTTATCAACAATTACTGATTAAACTTTCAGCTCAAAATGAATATGATTTAAAAGATAATTTTAATACTTATAGAGTTCACTTTCAAAGTAAATTTCTAATTAAATATATAAATGTTTTAAATGCCATATCTAATTTATTCCAAATGTAAACAAATCAATTTAATACAAACTATTAAAATCTAATCGACTCATTATTAATAACATTACAGCAAGATGTAACAACAATAATTGGCAATCAATTAACAAGACTTATTCCATCAATATCATTTTTTTCAAATAATGAAACATTAATTTTATCTCCTGATCAATATTATGTATATAATATTTTTACTATCTGTTGAGGATCAAAACATCAATCTTGTCAATATCCTTTTTTTTTGTAACAGGTTCAGCTGGAACTGGCAAATCATATATTATTTGACTTATTGTAGAATTTCTAAAATCAAAAGGTGCAAATTATCTTTTGACGGTATCAACAGGTGTAGCAGCTCAAAATATTGATGGTAAAACAATTCACTCTGAATTAAGAATTTCAGAAAGTATTTATAATCTTCAGTTACTTGTAAATAATGATCAAAATTTATTTCAAAGATTATCAAAAGTAGAATATATAATAATAAAAGAAGCCTCTATGGTTGCAGCTCAAATGTTAATATTTTTAAGCATATTATTTGACCGTATTAAAAAAAAATCACTTAGTATTTGGTGGAATTTCTGTTCTTCTTATTGGAGATCTTTTTCAATTACCACTTGTTCAAGGTGACTTTATCTTTTATTCTCCTGTATGGACAAATTTTTTTCCATTATTTTTAACAACTGCACATCATCAACAAAGAAATGAATTATTTTATCAAATGCTTGAAGAAATTAGAATGGGAAATGTTAATGAAAATATCATTAATAAGATACAACAAAAAATTAATAATTATAATTTTACTAATAAAGTATTAGAAACTATTCACAGTGTAAAATACAGAAATATGGCATCAAATATTAATAATATTGTTGGAAATTATCTTCCATCAGCTAATGAACATGAAAGTCCTTACAAATCAGTAGTAATTGATTATATGGGTAATACTCAGATAACACCTACTGAAACAAATAGATTATTTCGTCACTATACAAACTTTTCAACAAAAATAATTCTTAAAGAAGGTATGAGAGTAATATTTCTTAATAATTCATTATTCACTAAAGGATTATTCAATAATTCCATAGGTATAGTCTTAAAAATTATTGATAATGATACCATTCAAGTAGCCTTTTCATTAAAAATGGGTATTGCTAATGTAATAGTAGTAAAAGAAACTAGTTATTCCAAGGTAAATGGAATTCCTTCACATCATCACCAATTTCCACTTCAAAATGCATTTGCACTGACAGTGCACAAAACTCAAGGGTTAACACTTCCTCATATAACAGTATCTCTTGATGAAACAATATTTGCATGTGGACAAACATATGTAGCCTTAAGTAGAGCTACATCATGGGACAACTTAGAAATTACTTCATTTAACAAGGATTCAATCAAAACTGATTCAAATGTAATTATTGAATATGAAAAATTAAGAGAAAAATATAACGATAGCATTAGTGAATTTAATACATTCATAGTATAATATAAAATAAATTCACAAAAAAAAACCTGTTAATTATTCATTATTAACTGAATACAAAAATCAATAACCTGAATAAATAAAAATACCTTAATTTTAATAAATTTATGGACAAGAAATTATAAATGATTAAATACAAAGACCAATAATAAAATAAAAATACCCTTAACTCTGAACTCTTATTATAGTATAAATAATTTGATACCAACTGTACTTTGGTGACATATATAAAATTTTTATGGCTTAAAAACAAAAAATCAATAAAATCAAAAAAGTCATGAAATTTGAATTCAGAATATCCCGAAAAAAATCAAAAAAAAAATAAAGATGATGAGATATATTACAAATCAACAAAGAACAAGGAACTAAAAGAACTTTATTAAAAAAAAAAACCATAAAATTCATACCAGATAGTTATCCTAATTCTGAATAATATTAATAATATTTCAATAGTTCAATGACCTTTATCAATTCATTATTTTAATATGTTCCTCACTAGTCCTTTACTAATGTTTTCCGTAAATGTTTAAAATATCGAAATTAATTAATGATATTAATAGTTTTATACCATATCAGATATATAAAAAAATCTTAAATCCCATTTAATATG